CACTCCCTAGTGAGGAATCAGTCTCTCTCTAGTGAGGCTCCTGAGAATCAGTCCCCTAGTGAGACATCTGGAATGTATCTTTTTCATAAAAAACCAACAGTGAGTGCCAACTGCTAAGGTCTTTCACTCAGTGTTTTCCCATCATGCATCTTTCCATCTGATGACATGAACAGACAGAAAAGAGTGGTGTATATATACCCTAGCCCACACTCCACTTCACTTTGTGTGATAAAAATCTCATTTTTGTTTTCAGAATAAAAGCGCTCTGTAATTGGAAGGAGAGCTGGCACTCACCCATCCAGAATGGACTCCCTGCAGCAGTAGAGGTTGTCAAACTTCTGCTTGGTAACGGAATCATTCACATTCATGGCCGGGACACACAGCTTGCCAGCCTTGGACAGCTGATACAGCCTGAAGAGATGCAACAGGTGAGTGGCACAACAGACAGGAATGTATAAGCATGCAATTACTTTTTTTTTCAAATCTTTAAATTTCTAGGCAAAACCTGCAAATAAAACTCAACAAACCAAGACCTCAAATCTGCCTTCTTTCCAAGCTATTCAGAAGCACCTTTGTAAACTGTGGCAAAAGCACTAAATTCAGACTAAATTGATTTTGTCTTGCCACAGCAGTGAGTCCTGTGTTGGTTGGGGAGGATGAGGATGAGCCAACATGCTCACCTGATCTGCCCATCAACGCCATTCATATACTGACAAGATGGAAGCCCTGCAGCACACGGCAGGAGGGTATACACCAACCTACCGCACAAGCAGCATGACCCCCGATCACATCAAGCCTGCAGGCACCTGGGAGCTGGCAGGGAAATCTCTGGTACACTAATCCCAACACTATCCCTGGTGGCCAAGAGTGTTCTGCTGTGACTCGAGACTCCAGGCGCAGTGAGCCACTCGCATGAGCCTGTCTCGAACCTGACACCCGAGAAACCTGGGACCACCACTCTCACACCTGACACCAGAGAGACCTGGGAGCCCCACTCTCATACCTGACACCTAAGCCAACTGGGAATCCTACTCTCAAACGGGGACGCTGGCTCAGCTGTTGCTTGGGAAGCTGACGTTCTTGCCTGCACCCGGCTGGCTGCCTCACCTGTGCACCCCAGTGACGCTCTCCTCCACAATCCCCCGGATCTTCTTGAAGACGTTGGGATATTTCTTGTATACCCAGTGAGTCAGGTCCCCGCCGTCGTCTAGGATCTGATGGCAGGAACAAAGACAGAAAAGACCAATTTCAGTCAAAAACTGTCCGGTTCCTGTTCCTCCTTCCACTTAGGCCTCAGGGTCCTGTCCTGGAACAGAGCATGGCGGAGACACACCTCGGGAAAGTCTGCTGCAGCAGAGGAGTGTGGGAAAGAAAAATCATGGCAAAGGTGTAAGAACCAAAGTGTGGTAAACATGCAAAATGAATGTAGTAATTTTATGAGGGACCAGAGGTTACTTCAAAGTGCACTACCCTGAAAAGCAAGGCCTGCGAGTGCACTGAGCAGGAGGAACAGGTTCTGCTGTTCACTGCACAGGCACACTCGAGTGTCAGAAGAGGAATGATGTAACTGAAGGGCCTCATTCACTGCAGCTGACTTTAGGGTTTGTATAGACTGGTCCAGCTAAGGGCAGAGGAACTGTCCCGGAGAGTTTCAGAGTTCTCTTGCCCCTCTGAGAAGTTTGATCCATTTTCCAAACAGCAGCTGAACTCTGACTCTTATCCGCAAAAGTGGCTGCAGAATGACATTATAGCTACTTTGAAAACTAAATTTAAAGGAAATTTAGCATTTGCATTGTTAGAAATATTCCTACTGATTACAAAATATAAGCTATTAACACTGTTTTTAGTAAGCAGGTTTTATAAAGTTACAGCTATCATTGGAACATGTTCCTGAATGTATTCCAATTAAATATTAAAATGTAGAGCATTTATAAAATATAAAATGGATAGAAGGTGTTTACCATGTTGGCCTGCCATCCCTCCATGTTCACACAGCGGTCTATGCACCACCAGAAGTCATCTTCTGATTCCCCCTTCCAGGCAAACACAGAGACCCCTGCGCAGGAAAAGGATTTCTTTAGTCCTGAACAGAGAAGGCTACAAGACGGCCTGATTCAGGTATTCAGTATCTTCTAGGGCCTGGACAAAGACATCCTAGTGGAACCTGAATCTTAAGACACGTGGAAACCAGAGCCAAGTGCATTTGTCTCATTTCTTCTTTGCACAAATGGCTGTGAGTGTCTGGAACAAGCTGAACAAGATCAATTACAGACTAGTGTAAGAGACCACATGCTCTCTTGTTCGTAGCCTTGAGAATTAAAACTTCTTAAAACTAATGAAGTTAATTATTCCTCAACCTCAATCCTGCTTATCAATCTTTACAAATCTGTACCGAAGGACACCTCCAGGCCCACTTCTGGCAATCACAAGCAAAAGTTCAGGCTTCCTGAAGATTAAACTGTTAAGTCCATAGACATAGCTCATCAAGATGTTGATATTTTGTTAATCTACTGACTAAACTATTGCATCTTTGTAATATTACATTATCTGTTATGAGAGTACTTTATAGATTTTAGTATTCTTGCAAGTTGCTACATTATCTTTGTAAGCTGCAGTATAACCTTTTTGTAGATATATTTATAATATCAGTATGTGCTTTTTAAAGATCCAGTTTTCTTAACTATTACTTGTGAAACTTTTTAAATAAACCTTTGTTACTGTAGGTCACCTTGGATAAAGATCTCTACCACGCACAGAATATATTAGTAATATTTTAGCATACATTACATTAGGTGTGCAAGTAGCTTCATTACATTTCTGTCTATCTGCTCAGAACTAAAGCAGTTCTCTCACCACTTTAAAAAGCATTTCGCCTGGGAGGGATTTTGTTATCTGCCAGGAAAGGCAACAATTGTATACACAGTGTAACTTTTTTCCATCTTTCTTTTTTATTAGAAAATATATCAAGAGAGATTTAACTTCAAAGCGTATGCATTCCAAGCCAAGCTTTGCAAACAAACCTCACAAGGAAATGAAATGTTTTGAAAGTGAAATTCTGTGCAACGATAAATAACAAGCAGGGAGATTTGCTGGAGATTTAATGTGTCGTACCTCTAACACACTGCCAGAGCTGAAAGAGACTGCTTCTGATATTTGCATTTACATTAAGAGCTCTCAGAACTGCTCCAGCACATTATTTTTTGTTTCTAATGGCCTCTTAGAATAATGAGGGTGAGTCACTTCTCATGTTATAAAAAGCTATCACAGTGTGCTGGTGGAATAAAACCCATTAAATCAAGAAAGAAGCAGGATTCATGAACATTCCTGGCTTCCAGGGAACACAGTGTGTGCCACACACAACCAGTACATGATCGGAGGATCTGATCCAGATGTTTCTTGAAAAATAGCCAAGACATTGGCCTCCATAACATGGCTGGGTAGCTTGTTGCAGATCTCCACAATCCTTCATGTAAAGTGCCTCCTGATCTCACTTTGAAATGCCTTTCCACCACTTCAATTTCAATTGTTTCAATCATCAATTTCTTAAACTTGAAAACGAAGCACTGCAAAAAAGAAGGGGAAAAAAACAGCATCCGCAAAGCCTGAACAAGAACTGCTGTTCCTGGCTTCTTCCCATAAACCATGATCTGCGTCTTTAAAGACCTGCTCTGTCTGGGTTTCTGGGAGCATAAGACAGTGGCTAACCACTCAATTATTGAAATACCTGAATATTTGATCACTTTAAAGTCACCCAACCTAGAAATACAACATGCAGATGACCCAAGCTGTCAAGCAAAAAGTTTATTTAAATCTGCACGTAGAAAAAGATTTTTAAAAGCTGACTTCAAATCTATTTCATGTGTGCTATGACACACTGAAAAAGAAGCTTTTATCCCTTAACTGCCTTGTAGAAGCTAAATTTAGAGGAACAATCAATTTTCAATGCCGACGCTTCCTGGCAAAGGTCACACAAAGCTGCGACTCCATGTGACAAGAGGCAAGTAAACTGTTACACTCACAAAAAAAGGCAGGACAAGATTCTCCCATTTCCTCTGGGTCTTCTTCAAAAATCATATTTATGAGATAAATAAAACCAAAGAGTGTTGCAATGATTTCCAAAGTTGATACAGATCTCAGAATATGCAAACATCTTTACTCAAACGGTAGTGTAGATGATAAAATACATAGTCAAAAATCCAATAGTGATTTCGTTTAAATGGAGTCTCTCACTCTGGACCGAATCTCCCACTCTTACCAGCCTCTGAAAGTGCTGCTGCCACCTCATTCTGCGTGGAGTAGATATTACAGGCAGTCCAGCGACACTGAGCTCCCAGGGCCACCAGCGTTTCTATCAGGACCTGCAGGAACACAGGTTTTAAAGTTTCTACCTAGAACTTCTACTAATATAACGACCTGCTTGACAGGATGACAACTGCTGTTCAGTGCCATCCATCTGAATCAGAGCCCTACCTTCAGAGCCACCTGGACCAGACTGGAAGTAGTCAACACCGTCTATGATCGTCACCTGTACGTACTAACAATGAACTTGGTTGTCCATTATACCAGCACTATAAATGCATTTCTGATGCTCAAGACATTTCAATCCTATGAATATCCAAACAGCCTTTATACAGTATCAGCTGTGGTGCTCTTGGTGGAAAACCAGCAAAAGATTTAGAACTCCTACCTAAAGCCTGGGACAGAAGAGAAATGCACATACAAGTGGGATTCTCATGTGACTAGGCATATGAAAAACTAATCTGTGTTTTGATATAAGGAGAGAACAAGTAAGGAACTGTGGTGCATACTGCTTTCAATGAGCTTGTGAGCTTTGTTTCAGGAGAGACTGTGTTTGATCAAGGTGTGTCTTCTTTTCCTGCTTTATTCGAGCAGGTAGAAAGAGCACACGCACATCTTCTCTGTGCTTGTGCGCCTCCCTACACCATGAGAGCTGAACAGCAGTGTCCGATCAGCGAGCAAAGGGGCCATAGTCCTGGGCAGGGTGGGATGCAGAATGTTATTAAGAAACAGTAACTGCTTGCATAAGAACACTCTCCAAGTTACCCCACGGTTTAATAAGCAAGCCCCTGAGGAGAGCGAACAGCTATGTAATAAGTAAGCCCTGTAGTTAATTACTTCTCAGTTTAAGCAGCTTTGAAAGCCAGACCTCATGCTGTGTGGGCAGTGTGGGCAGTGCCTGAGTTCTTCTATGAAGCCACAGAAGCATTTTGTCTTTTAATTAAGAGTGAGCATGAGGGGTTTTTAACTTCCACACTGGTTACTCTGTGAGAGAGAGCCCTTCCCGTCGTTAGCCAAACAAACATAAACAGAGGAGGAAAAAATATTTTACTGCCACAACCGTTGGCTCTCAATTAAATTCCAATTCTTCTGTCATGGTGTAAAATAAAATTAGAATACAGGGCTAAAGCCCCCTTTGATACTTGAACTCTATTTGCTCCATCATTCAGCCTAAAACCATTGACCCTTGAACACCACCAATCCCAGCAACTTCAGCTCCAGAGGGAAAGCAGCTTCTGAAAACTTTCTCGTTTGCACATCAACAGCCAGCAATTCATTAGCTTTTTCACTAAACCTTTCTATCATCTACACCAGGCGATAAAATAAGACACATGCAGTATATTTTCGTATTTCAAGGTTTACAGTAAAAACTCTCTGCAGCGGTTGTGAACACAGAAGTCACGTGTGAAAAGGCACACGGAGAGAACTGTTGAACAGTATGGAGGACTGAACACGGGAAACGGTTCTGAACCGTGAAGAACCAGATCCTGACCTCCAGGTACTGGCTCGGTGGTCAGGACGAAGCTGGCTATTCATGCAGTAGCAGCTGTGCTGGGTGGGATCAGTCAGTCACAGACATCAGGAAAGCACTGGCACTCGCCATTTTGACATCTAAATTAAAGTGCTTCTGCCCCTCAGCTGGCAGAGACTCTGGTCTATCTCTTACCGCTGTCTGGGCGGTGATGTGAGTGCAGCCCACAATCTTGGCCCCAGCCAGTGGTTTCTCGCCCTGGGCTCTCTTCCTCAGGGAGACAAGGGCCGACATGTCTGCAGGAAAGAAAACTGAGGTCAGTGTCCACACTTCTCCATACGTCACACACACTTCTTCACTTCCCTGATCTCTCCCTACTATAAGACTACTGCTACACAGCAGTTTGGTTCAGTCCAGGAAGGAGAAGATGCCGAGCTTGACGAATGTCCAAAAAATGCACAATCATCCAATTGATGGAGCATGACTAAAAAGCCCACTGGCATGGTTTATGGGTCTGTTTAATGCAATAATTGTTAAAAACTGGTATGTGTTGCCACTGAAATGAAGAAATAAGTACATTATTAACTACATTAAGTAGATGAGAACTCAGAGATATCAGAGATTAAGCAGTAAAGCCACCAATTCAAGCCCCAGTCAGATCCAGATTATGCAAATTGCCCAACTGGCTGAATACTGCTGGTGTTTCTCCTGTAACATGTTGTGGAGCTTGCAATGTGTCCTAGAATGAACGTCATTCTCCCAGTTCGACCATCTTCCTCAATAAATGTTTTGTGTTCATGTTCAGTGCTCTTGCTGGATGATGACTCAAATCTGGGTTTCTCACAGTGCGGAAACAGATTTGTCTGGAACATACCCTGGACCACAGGGTGCTGGCCTGTCCTCATATTATTTCCAGTGATTCCCTGACTGCGGGGATGCAGGGTGGCAGTGGGGGTGCGGCTGCAGGGGGGCTCCCCCGTAGGTGCTGCACTGTGCTTCAGGGCTCCTGAGGTGGAAACATGGACCCCCACAGAGGGCCGGAAGAGGAGGCCGCCCGCCAGTCCCCCTTCTCACCTGCGCAGCTCAACAGCTGTAGCCTTACAGCAGAATCAGAAAACAACTGGGCAGTCTGATCTTAAAGTGGGTGGGCGCAAAATAAACAGGGACAAAACAGAACTGCCCGAGGACTCGATTTCGGGCAGTCTGGCCTGGCTGGAGTTACCCAGGAGTCATCTGCAGTCGTCTGCACGCACTGGGGCACAGGGCCGTCAGCGGTGTCGAGTCACGGCCTGCCAACTCCGCGATAATCCTCCTCACCGCTCTTGGCCATTTGCTCAGAGAGAAAGGTCAGTGCACAGAACAATCTGTCCAGCACAAGAACGCCCAGGAACACGGCTGTACAGGACCTGCTGAGTGAAACCGAACGCGCCACCCCCGTTCTGGACACAGGAACAAGAGCACCTGGCGGAGGGATCCGTGGGCAGCATTTCAAAGTGTGAGTGTGTGCGCGCTGGTGAATAATCAACCTGATGAGCACAGCAATAAGGTCTGTGGGAGAGAACCTCACATCCCTGTGTAACATGAGCCTGTCTGATATCTGGGCTGAGCGCACAGCCTGGGCCGAGTGTCAGGTTTCGCTACGGATTCTAACTATTCTACAATAAACGGAGGGTGTGAGGTGACTGTAACCTAATCACTTGCAAGGCACTGAGACTGATTTTTTGAAAATACAAGGGATCAAATTTCAGCTTTCTAAGGCACGTGCTAATCTCCCCAAAACATCCCTGCATGTTCTACCAGCCTCAACCAATTCAAGGTCGCGGGGGGGCCAGAGCCTATCTCAGAAAGCAATGGGTTAATGACACAAAACATTCTTTTGTAAAAATAAAAATATTACTATTGGTCACAATAGCACCAATTAGTTATTCAGAAGATACATTTCTCCCACGTGACCTATGCATACAAGGCAGTGTGGTGTGTTGTGTGAATTACCCAGCTCGAGGAGTTTCGGTAACAAATGAAACTTGGTGGCTGAGGACCTGAGAGTGACAAGTCCTACACCTCACCCACTAAAGCATCTCACCTCCCAGTCCCAGCTTGTAGGGCAGGGGTGGGTAAACTTTTTTGATCCAAGGGCCACATCAAATTTTGAAACTGTATAGTGGGCCACTTCAGGCTGCTGTTAGCCTATGCCCTATATACATTTAGAATCCAACATAGGCTTATTAGTTCAAGGTTAACGATAACCTGAGAGAAAAAAATAAAATAAAAATTGAATGAAACTTGACGTTCATCTCACAAGCCAAGTCTTCACCGATTACCTCGACCCAACGGGTAACTGCTCTGCGTGATAAACTGACTTTCCTTACAAATTAAACAAATAGCTTTTGTTCCAACCAAAAAGTATTTTGCAGTCCATTCTTTGTTGAACACTCTGCATTCACTTTTCATTTTTTGCTTCTTCAATCCACTCATTTTGGCGCTGGTTCTCTCACAGTACGATGGACCCGCTCTAACTGGTGAACCATGAGTGAAGAGGAGGCTGCAGTCTGTGGTCCTGTTGCGTGTTTCATTGCTGTCCCAGCAGGCACCACTCTATCAAAAGGCAGCAGCCGGAGCCCCCACTCACCTTGCTCTGCGATCTCGATCTCCCGGCGGCCAAACTCGGACTGCTTGATGTTCTTCACACAGAAGTCACTGCTGCCTTTGGAGTTGGTCTGCACTTTGTCTCTGGGGGAGGTCTCATCATCGGAGCTATCTGTGTAGGAAGCGGCTGGGGGCAGAGGTCAGAGAGCACGATGGGGTCAGTCCCCTGACGGCAGCACAGACTTCACCGCTAAACACCCCCCTTTCACCCTGTCCCCCTGTCCCCCAGTCACGGAGTGTGTGAGCAACACAACCTGCAGCTATGATGCAGTGTCAAACATAATCACAGCAGGAATACCAACCAGAATTAAGTATTAAGGTTATTATAGGTTTTAAATGTTTAAATACTTATAGAATCATGCATTGTCTTTCGTAGTAATTACCTGTTTACTTCTTTCTTTTTGTTTCTGGTTTTGAATGTGTAGAGATGTGCCATAATGATAGGCTTTGAAGGAACATAAGTTAATACTGCTTAATGACAAGACGGGCCAGGGAATGCCAGAAAGAAATAAGCCATGTCAGTGAATCCTTTCTACTAAGTGGAAACCATAGCTCCTTGAAAAACAAAGCAAAAACCTCTAGAATAATCTAATATCCAAAAGAAATTGAAACTGTCAGTGTAGATCCTTCAACTACTGTAGCAACCTAAATGAGTTACAGAACACTTTTCAAATTCATGGTGTTGTGTTCTTCTGTGCGGAATGAAAACGAGGTATGTGGGGTGAACAATGGATTACAGGTGGGATGTGCTCCGTCTAGGGCCATGTCTAGCACTACCCACAAGGCAGTATTTTTGAGGTGTTTAACTCATGTGCAATGTAACAACAGAAACAAATTAAATTGAAAAAACCTACAACTACAGTACATGAATTCTTTTCAGTCTGTAAAACATGGCAAGCAAAAAAGGACTGAAAGATCTCTTAAGCTCTCAGTCGAGCACAGGAAGCAAACTGGAGCTCAGGGTGAAAGTGGCAGGGAGAGGAGGTGCCCCTGCAGCCCTCAGAGAGCAGGCAGATCAGTTCACACGTGACGCCAAGCCTGTGGGAACTCCGCGGGACAGACGTAACCTTCCTGGAAAGCTCCCAGACTGATTCCAGCCAGGGTGGCCGATTGTGTGTGTGCCTGTGTGTGCTGTGCTGCGTCTGGACGGGGGTGGTTCGGAGCACCTGAGCTGTAGCTGTCGGTGGACGACTGCGAGATGGATCGGGACAGGGATCGCCGGCCGGCCTTGGTGGGAAACCGGCTGAACTCCTGCTTCTCCTCGGCAAACTGGATTTGCTGGGAAAGAGACGAAATAAACACACACAGACGAGAAAGGGGAGAGAAAACAGAAGAAGATTTATTGAGGGGTTATGTTTTTTTCCATGTAAAAACAGATGTGCAGCTCAGCCAAGGTCAAGCAAATGTATGCTCTTAAAGCGTAACAGAAAAGCTAGTCTCCCATGAGATGGACCCTCTTAACCAAAAAAGCCCTCTCCTTACATGTTGGTTCAAAAACTTATTAGATGACAATTTGCTTACCTATTCAAAAAACTGCCTTATAAACCAGACTTTATTTTTGTTGGTTAAACTCAGACTTGACAGAAAGAGAGATGAAGTGACAGCAGCTCAGTTTGTTCTGTTTCTAGGTCTGATCCTTAACACCCTCTCAGTCGAACTGCATTTCGACTCTTGAGCATTCTGCTTCGCAGGGAACTGAACACATCTCATCGCAGCCCACTGATCTCCGCAGAAAGAACAACTTAAATGTACAAATGAATATAGCTGTAAAGGATGTTTTATGCAAAAAAAAAGATTCAAATTCCTCCACTTTCAACCAGTACATTTACAACAAAGGATTGTTATAGTGCCTCTTGGGATGGATCATCACACATCTTTAAACGTGCTTTCCTGTGAAAGACCAAATAAATCACTGGGGAACAGGGGAAAGGGGTCCATTTATCCAAAGCTAGTTAGCTAGAGCTTAGGGTCATATTTAAAGGTTTGTATTTTAGGCATAGGAATGAGTGGTACAGGCAAGACTGTACTGGGGCTACAGTAGCTCACTGGGCAGAACTGAGAGAGTAAAAGGGAAGTACAATTCATACAGCACTGATGCTGTTTCAGAAAACTCTCTTTTAAGTTTTAAGTCTCAGACACCCCACATTGCTGGGTCTGTTTGATATTAATCTCTATAAGGACTGGAAGAAATAGAAAACAATATCTCCCAGTGTGTTGCAAAAAATATGCATTTGAATTTAGCTAAATGTTCAGAATATTCCAGTCTTTGGCATACTGTACCTTAGCTGTAGACCACAGATCACTGTTTCCCTGATTTTCTCTGTGTGGCTGACAGCTCTGATTTCAACACAACCCGGGGATCATGACTTAATGGTGAGATCTGAAAACTCATCTATCCAACCCCTGTTTATTATCCTATTTCAGGTCTGGGTTGTGCGAAGCAAACCAAGAGAAAACCTCCTCTTCCTCACCCTTTCGAGGGAAGACTCCCTCCTGTCCGCTGACGCAGCCCGAGCCGCGCGGTGCAGGAAAACCAAGCAGGGGAGGGGGGCCGGGGATTATAGTGTATCCGGAGTTATCGGTTTTACTGGGCCTTGGCCACACACAGCCGCTTATCAGTGCGCGCTAAAAATATCAAAATATTACCCGGCCGACACAAGCCGATTACTGTTCAAAGGGCTTATGCAACTCTAACCTTTAGAGGGAAAAGGCAACACAACAAACAAAGTTCTGCGTCATGGGAGGGAGCTAAAAATACCTCCGGGGCCCCCGGGGAACCTCGGCAAGCCGGGAGCACAGCCGGAGGATTAACCGGGAGCCCCTTAAAGGCTTCGGCACGCAGATCAGGCTGCCCGCTGACCACAGCGAGAGAGAGGGAGAGAGAGCTGGGGACCTCTCCACCCCCCAGCCTCGTGTCCACCCTGCCTGCCCACTGCAGCGCGATTCAAGACCAAGGATGGCCCTGCTGCTTGCCACACAGGTGCTGTGATATGGAGCGAGTGCACTCACTCCCTCTGTGTCCCTCTGCCCTCAGACTCAGACACCGGACCCCTCTGGTGTTTCGGAATAGGGAAGGCCTATTTGTGCATGGACGATGGACAGCCACATGAAGGAGAATTAAAAGTCTTCTTCAGCAGTTCTGTTGCTCTCGTTTGCAGAACATTCCTAATTTCATGTGTACATTTCTCAAGACAAATAAGGGAAGATTATATAAATGGACTGTATCACTAACACAAGCCTAATATACTTTCGGCTGTGCCGATATAACCACACTTAATAAATAAAAATATCCTGTTGTCTCAACAGCCTTTAAAGCTGCCCTGTGAGGGAGGAAACTGGCCACCAAAGGTCACAACAATATCTGCAGCGTAAATGGAAAGGTTCTGTGCAGCAGGTGAAATTATAATCTGTGGATCTAAGCAGGATTGCAGGTCATTAGACAATAAAGCACTTAGCTGTAGGACAAAGAACGCCACTCCCAATTAACTGTGCAGTCTTGTAGCACTTATTTACAGCTCACAAGCAGGGTTTTGCCTATTTTTTAATATATTTTTTTTTGCATAAAAGTGCTATTGATTTAACTTAACAATATAACACATAATAATCACACATTAACAAATAAACATTATCAACCCTCCCAAAACTAGGGGAATGTTTTACCTTTATCTACTGTATTGATTTCTTGTTATTCACACACTAAAAAACATCTCTGCCACAAAATTAGCAAAGAGACTGCACCTAGTCCGCTGGAATCTGCCAGCATTAACTGTTCCATCTGTCTGAAGGTACATCTCAGATTCCTGCACAGGAGACAGTCTGGAATTCTGCCACTTAATTTCCTCAAGGAGAGCAAGCTCTGCATGAAAGTTGGGGGTGGAGGGGTCAGAGAGGACGGAGAAGAGACTGTAGGTAACTGTATTTACTGCCAAATGCAAGTCAGCAAAAAATCTACAGATAAAACATAAGGCAGCAGTAGTTTTGGGGAACAAAAACAGAGGGTGTGTGCACGAGGAGTGCGTGCATGTGCGTGTGTGAAGTGCGTGCACAAGGAGTGCATGCATGTGCGTGTGTGAAGTGTGTGCACGAGGAGTGCGTGCATGTGCAAAGTGAATTGTGTCCACGAGGAGTGTGCGCACGTGCATGTGTGAAGTGTGTGCACAAGGAGTACGTGCATGTGCGTGTGTGCACGAGGAGTGCGTGTATGTGCGTGTGTAAAGTGTGTGCACAAGGAGAGCGTGCATCTGTGTGTGTGAAATGTGTGCACGAGGAGTGCATGCATGTGCGTGTGTGAAGTGAAGTGTGTTCACGAGGAGTGCGTGCATGTGCGTGTGTGAAGTGTGTTCACGAGGAGTGCGTGCATGTGCGTGTGTGAAGTGTGTGCACGAGGACTGCGTGCATGTGCGTGTGTGAAGTGTGTTCACGAGGAGTGCGTGCATGTGCGTGTGTAAAGTGTGTGCACGAGGAGAGTGTGCATCTGTGTGTGTGAAATGTGTGCACGAGGAGTGCGTGCATGTGCGTGTGTAAAGTGTGTGCACGAGGAGAGTGTGCATCTGTGTGTGTGAAATGTGTGCACGAGGAGTGCGTGCATGTGCGTGTGTGAAGTGAAGTGTGTACACGAGGAGATGAGTGCGTGCATGAAGTGCATGGTTCATGGTTTCTGACATGCCTGCATGAGTGTGTCATCGCAATATCAAGTGGACACAGAATTTGGGAAAAGCTCCAACAAAAGCATTTTTTATAAACCAAAATTAATTTTGTTTTAAAATTTAGCAGCGCTGTAAATATTAGCTATAAATATTGATCATTTTAATGGTCATTCTAATGGAGTTTAATTTGAAAGACAATTGAAATAGTAAATAAAATGAGTGTGAGTGTCAGTAGGACATGTGAAATCCTAAAAAAGGTAGGGAGCTTTCCTCGCACCAATTAACTACTACCCAATAGGTTAGATGAGCTGATTGGCCTCCTCTTGTTTGTAACCGTTTTTTTGTTCTAGGCGAACAACCACTGTCTTGTCCAAGAACTGGCTAGGTGCCCTCAGTGCTATTCACAGCTTCCTTGAGCGTTCATTTCACTACAGTGCAGCTGTATCCAATTGTGAATCCACAATTCCAAACAGAGACCTGGAGCAGCAGTGGCACCAATAACACAAGTGGAACACAACACCAAAAGAACACAAAAACAAGCACCAACAAAAATATAGGCAAAAATTCTCCCGGATCCGACAATGTGGAAGGGCTGTGGGAAGATCATGTTGGGTCTGTTTGTAAATGGGTGCTTGTTCCTTCTCAATATGTAAGAAAAAATCAGGAAAAGCTAACGAAGTCCACTGGAGCCCTTCTGGAATAAAATAAAGTAAGTCTGATAAAAGTTAAATCTACCACTAGGTTAAAAAACCATGACGATGAGTGAGTGATGATTTGAAAGCGTGTAGTGTATTGTTAAGCTCTTTATTGTTAAGAATATTAAATGAGATGGAGCTCTTGGGCACAGGTATTTGTGGCGACATACATTTTTTCTCAACCAAAAGATGTAGAAAGCTGTTTTCCGTGTCCAGGTCGTGGTTAATTCCCCCAGGAGGATGCTATGCCTCGCACTCTCGCAACACTTCAAAAGTAGTTGTTTAATAAATATTCTTTTGCTCAGCTGGTATTTGCCAGGGTTGTGCCTTTCACTTGACCGGACACATACAGTATGGGATTGACCCAGCTTGTGACCTCACTGTTTGATATAAACTAAACCTGTTAAAGAGCCCTCAACACCCGGATTGTGTGCAGCATTGAGCACACACCAGCGCACCGATTGTGTTGGTTCAAGAAATTAGCAGCCAGGACTGGATGAAGCACTTACTGTATTAACAGGGCCAAGGTTTTCAGAGGAAGCATTTTCCATTTATCAAAGTCTGTGGCCATCAAGAGTGTTAACAAAAAGAGGGGTCGATTTTACCTAGGAGCGAACATAAAAAGTTGAGATCACAGATAAAGCCACATTTTGGGAAAGCGTGGACGACATGAATTCATTAATGGCATTAATTCCATCCTTCTGAATTCGTTTGCAGTCTAGGGCCGACGCCAGCCCGTTCTGCTTGGAAAGTGAGTGCGCTTGGCACCTCAGCTCAGCAGCTCAATGGGTACAGTAAGGCACTGAAGGAAACACGTAGGCTGGCAAGGATACACTTCGATCCAAAACACCAGGCCGTCAGTACAGTGTGTTCCTGTTCCCTCTCCTCTCTCTCTCCCTCGGCTGGCCTCTGCGCTCCCCTGTCAAGCATGCGAATG